CACCGGGTTGGGTATCAACTCTATTACTCCTTGTTTAGGAGTGGGGTTCTCACTGGGTCACTATATTTTACATTTCTAGTGTAGGGGAGTGTGAAAAAATATTGTAATTATCTTGAAAATATAGTGGAATTGTTCGGAGGTTGTCCCGTGGTTTTTTCCTCTAATTTGGAGGTTTTCCACGTTAAATCTTGGTGTCTTATTTCTTGCATATTTTATTTATTTGGGATATTCTTAGTATGCTCTGTGGTCGCAGTTTAATCTGAACTTCCACATCAGAAAAGAATTATTCATGTTTTATTGCAAGAGATTTTCTTTTGTCATTCTTGAGTTGTTGGGATCGGATTATTGTTTACCATTTTACCTTGATATATTTAATTTATACCTTCCGCATTTGCGCATCTGAGCCCAACACACCAGAGATTTTGCCATTTACAGATACAACCCTTTCTCTCTCTTCCCTTTAACAACTAAATATATTTTCCTACTTTTATGAAAAATTATATATATGTAAGAAATATATCTCCTTGGGGACGGCCTGCTTCACCTCAACCATCTTGCCGTTGAGCTCGTGGAAGGTCTTGTGGAGGACAGACATGCCTCACTTCCTTATATAGGGAGATGTTATCTTGTTGTCCAATATTGCCCTGGTAAACTGCCTGAACCGACATTGTAATTTTATTAAACTAGAAATTAAGTGGATGTCTTCATCCATTTAATCTTATTAATTAATAAATAGAGAATAAATGGAAATTAATTAAATGTCCCCATCTATTGATTTTTCTTAATTAAAACCTCTTTAATCATAACTAGTACGAATCCCGTGCGATGCACGGGTAAGAGATATTTATTAATATTTCTAAATTAAATTTTTTTATTAGATGTTATTTATAAATTAAAAAATATAAAATAAATATGTAATACAATCTAACTATATTAATTTATTGAAAATGTAATATAAAATTTAAAATATGCAAAATTACATAAATCATGTTTATTTAAAATTAGTATAAACCCGTAAGGTGTACAAAACTAATAATAAATTACATTATATCCATTTCAAAATAAATAAGCGTCATTCTAAAATTTCTATTTATAAATTCAGTTTGACTACAATGTGATTCCATAAAATAAGTATTTTAGTAAACAATTATCATATGTTTAAAAATCTATGAATAATAAGAATAATTATAAAACTTATACTGTTTTATTAATTAAATTGAATTTATTTTTGTATAAACTATCTAAATCAAAAAATATAAGTAGTTGACTAATTTATTAAACTATAAATAATTAGCTATTCTATTTACGTCCAAGTTAATATTGACTTGTAAGTTATGAATAATTAAATTAATTACTTATTTGACTTTTAAATTTGTAAGCCAAATTTAGAATACATAATAAATTCTCTTATATGTATATATATATTATGGATGTGGTTCAAATGAGAACAAAGTCCTAGCGTGAGAACCGTTATTTTAAATTGTATCTACTGCTATGATTGGTTGTGTTTTGTTTTATATTTAATCACGATATATTTTCTTAAAAATAGAAACACAATTTTATATTAGCATGTGTGAAAATGATATCACCATGTAATATTAAAAATAGCATCATACACAATGAAAAATAACATCAAATATGGTTCTCACACAAGACTGATTTTTATTTGAACCAACCCCTATATATTATTCCATAATTTTTTAGATTTTTGTTTTGTTTACTTATCATTCAAATTTATCAACCCATTCTCTATAATTAAATTTTAAATTTTAAATTTTATAATATTTGTTCAAAGGTCTTTATAAATTTCAAGATGAACACATATCAATTTTTGAATTATTATCAATATCTTATGGAAAGTTATTATTAAAAATGACTACAAATATCTCTAATTTCTATTGGAGTTATACAATAATAAGAAATATTATTTCGGATTTTACAAAGATACATCAAATATTTTGAAAATCAAAACTCAGAGTCACGAGTCGAAGAGATTTAACAGTAATGATTTTTTTATGTAAAGAAGTGTTTAATAATATTTAGATTCACTTTTTTAAATAATTTTTTTCTCATTTATTAAGTTATGAATTTTTATTTTATTCTAAATTTTTTAATTACTTTCTCTTTTATTATATCATTTTCGTGCAAATACACGGGGTGAAACTAATAACTTATTAAATTGGATATGAAATCTTCTGAAATAAAACAATTAATTTATGAACTAATAATTATAAAAATAACCAAATTAATCCACCCGCTACAAAACAATAATAATATAATTACAGTTTTATTTTGTTGTACTTTTTATTAGTGCGCATATTGTTTTATCTCAAAATTGTCCATTTTAAAATTTTTGAATTGCTGTATAAAATAACATTGACAACTCTTGACACATAATAGAAAAAAAAATAAAAAAAATCAAGGTATTGACTTATTAAAGTTTAAGTGAGATATTCATGGAAAGAAATATTTTCACCAAGGTATTACCCACATCCTCCCTATATATAATTCCAGAATGCGCTAAGCCTACGTGGCTGCTTCAGAATCCTATTTGGCGAAGAATCATGCTTCGTAATTAGGTTTGGACAAATAATATTAATATATTAATAATTAATAATCTAGGTTCGGGTGTTCCATAAATATTATTTATCTAACTTAGGTATTTTAATATCACTATTACTAATATAACCCTTTAATTTGTAATTTTACATAGTGAGACACTAAGTGACTAATATATCCCTAAATTTTGATTTGCTTCCTTCAATAAGCTATTGAATTATAAATGTATTTTAAAAGTAGATAACTTTTGTATTTCTTATCGGTTTTACATATATAATATATCAAATTAATCATCTTTTGATGATCTTCGATTTGACATCCATATTGTATATATAAAATTGCTTCTGGTGCTTCGGAATCCTATTTGGCGAATAATCATGCTTCGTAATTAGGTTTGTACAAATAATATTAATATATTAATAATTAATAATCTAGGTTCGGGTATTCCATAAATATTATTTAGCTAACTTAGGTATTTTTATATCACTTTTAGTAATATAACACTTTAATTATTTGTAATTTTACATAGTGAGACACTAAGTGACTAATATATCCCTAAATTTTGATTTGCTTCCTTCAATACTTATTGAATTATAAATGTATTTTAAAAGTAGATAACTTTTGTATTTCTTATCGGTTTTACATATATAATATATCAAATTAATCATCTTCTGATGGTCTTCGATTTGACATCCATATTGTATATATAAAATAAATAAATTATATTTATCTTTATAATAATAAAAAATAATAATATTTTTAAAATTTATTAGAAAAATAAAATTATTTCTCAATTGATATATTTATATTTAATGTAGTTATATAGTGTAAGTTAAAAAAATTAGCATAATATAACACAAGTAAGTCGCACAAATAAAAAGTATCATAATAAATATATAATATATATATATATATTTTTATAAAAGATATTTAAATTTTCAAACTACTTTTTCTCATTAATTTTAAATTTTAAGAAAAAAATTAGCAAGCACCCGTGTAATACACGGGTGTTGTACTAGTTATAAGATAATTGGAAAATAAATAAAAACCTTACATTCAAAATATTAAAATTGAGCTAAAATCTTTAAACTATTAGGTACGAAGTTTCTAATTATTAGATACACGCACGTCCCAAACAGAAAAATATGAGACATAAAACTAAGTCGCCAAAATATATATTTTTTCCTTAAAAAAAAGGCAAAAATATATTCTGAATTTTTGAAAAAGATAGGATATATCCCAAGAAAATATTTGTGTGATTTCTTACTTTAAATGTTTTGATTTAGTTTCCTTTTCAAAAATTTTCAAAACACATTTAGGCGAGATATTTTGAAAATTTTCAAAAAATATTACTATTTTAGTAATTTTGAAATTTTAAGCGGGATTTTAACTACTATTTTAAGTAAATGTCAAACTTTTTTATATTTATATAGATTTAATTATAGCATATAACTCGATCTGCCCGAATATGTTAGGTTACGTGGTGTAATCCACGTGTGGTTCTTATCCTCATAATATTTTTTCTTATCTCTTAATCGTCTTGATCAAACGGTCTAATCATGCAACTAATCCTGCTTATAAAAGAAACCGTGGTTTGGTTACATAACAACGAAAAAGGAAAAAAAACCTTCAAATCTTAGTTGTGTGAGAGTGATATAGATTTTTACTAGTGGAGAAAAGTTTGGACCCACGCTTAAAAATATAAAGAAAAAAAAAAAAGAAGAAAGAAAATTTGTTCCGACAGGCCAAATGCCTTTTGTCTCGTATTCCGGATTCATAGGATTCTCTCTCTTGTGATAAGAAAGAAGAATAAAAAAGCTTCCGGATTTTGCTCCCAACAGCTTAAAAAGTTCAATAAAAAAAGTAAACACCAC